TAAAATTATTCGGACACATTGAACGGAAAGGAAATCGAACCTAAGAGGTCATGATCAATCTCCGAGCAGAGATCGAGTTTGGTATGGTACGGTTCAACTTCTGAAAGGAATAGAAAGGAAAATTTAGTCAGGTATTTTCCTTGATTTCGCGAACGAGGGCGCCGAGCGTTGGTGCTCTGGAGTCTGGGATGGTATCTGCAGTTGAGTCATCGATACGGGCGATTCGACAAAAAAGCTTCGCCCGAGATGAACGCGAACCCGACTCGAAACTCGGCCAAGCGTACCTACTATAAGCCTCAACGAATCCACCCGCGGAAGCCCAAGACGGCGCCAAACCTCCCCCGACCCGCGACGTCCCGCTTACCCTTCGCCAGTCGTAAAGCTGTAAATTGGTGCATATGCACAAGTTGTTACGCTCTACGCGTGGTGTGGGGGGATAGTTGATAAGTAAGTTGATACACAACGGACATGCATGTAAATGCCGGGGTGAACGTTCGACGTCGGCGCCAACTTGGCGCGCCGACCCGAGGAGCGCGTAGCGAGTCTTTGTGGCCCGAATCCAGTGCAGCTTGTCCAAACCGCGCGAGACTGTAGATACTTGCCAGACGTCTGTATGTTTGCGCTATCGATGAACCGCGCGGTTGGAAGTTGAGTGAACGTTGAAAGACGGAGCGAAAGCTGTGCCGCAAAAAGATCTGATCGATGATCCGCGCGCCGCATCCACCCGTCCTTCGCACGCCCTTGACCCGCCTCATCCTCATCTCCGTGCGGACGCGGCCCTCCCGCTCAACCCTCATCGACGATCGATCTGTTTCCTGGCGCGACGTCGGGTCTCCCATGCCCCACTCTGAGTGAGACGGCGCCCAGCCGCAAGCGCACCCGTGGTTGACGGTGGTTCCGACGTCTCGCCCTTCAAATTGTCAATGCCCTGCGGCCTCGAGGCAAGCTACCAAGGGAAAGTGACGATTGGGTGACGATGCGCGTATTCGGTCGCGTCGCGGGTAGCGGCCGCTTTCAATGAATCAGTCCTCCTCAATCTCAAGAAATCTAAACTGGACTGGCTATGGGTCAAATTACTTGGTCCTCATTTGGAACGCCATCCCAGTGTCGCCTTCGTTTCTGTCTCCAGCGCGTACCTACTGATACCTCGCCTCTGCCGCGTTGTTTTTTTTACCGGCCTTCGTGGGGCGATCACTATTCGGGATATTCTCCGCTTGAAGACTACTGCGTAGCTGATAATTATTAACAACTGGCGAGCTGCTGCTGCGGCGCGCGCGAACGGCGTGGTGTCCCCGCGACGAGCCTCGGTCGTGCGTGCCCAAATCGGAGGCAGCAAAGGCGAGCCGTCGGCGACCATTTGGGATTTACGGATACGAGGGAACCCGACGGAGGCGTCCCAGGTAAGTCACCAACACCCGCAGCATCTCCTTGTCTCCAAGCCTGCTACATACTGGGGCTGTATTTATACGAGTACTGGCTTACCTCCAAGTCTGCAGTCTGCTACTGAGGCTATCCCTGTGCTGCGCTTGTCCGGGTCTCCATGTTCTCCAAGTTATTCAAGTCGGGCGAACCATCTATTTTACCTATTCTATCTATCTCTGTGTCGGTCCCCCAGGTGTATTCCTATGTCTCCACATTATCCTCTGCGGTTCCTGGTGTATTCCTATCCCCTCTCCTCCCCATCCCGTCCTAATGTTATCCCTCTCCCCGCGGCTCAATTTTATGTTCTCCCAAATTCATCCTCCTCCTCTCCTGATCCTCATTGATATCCGCTCTACCTCCCCCCTTCACTACACGTCCATGTTACCTCCGAGGACATCCTCGTCCCTTGACTACCGAGACATCAAGGTCTCGTATCCACATCGCTATACTTGTCACGATTCTGCCCCACGCCTCGCGATCGCGATACTTACCCAAGCCTGGACCTGACCCTAGACAACCGGCCTCCTCTCTGGAAAGCCAGCTGCTGTAGACGCTTCAAGATTTCCAACGCCGCACGCCGCAGAGGGTCTGGTACGGTCTTTCCACTTAATCTCCTCAATCTCAAACCCCGCGTTCTCGACATCAGCCATTTGACAAATAACTTGCGCCTTTTTTGACCTTTTGGGCTTGTGACAAGTTCACAAGGCCAAAAGTGAAAAACACCCCCTCTGAAATCACATTTCATGCCCAGATCAACACCTGAAAAATATTTTTTTTTCGAAGAAATTGACCTTGTCGAGATTTAGACATAGCTTTGTGAACTTGTGGCTTGTCACCCTTTTTCGGCCTTTTTCGGCCTTGTACAAGGTAACAAGCTAATTGTCAAAAGTCTGATGGACACGGAAGAGAAGGACGGGTAACGAAACTGGATGCGGCCTCGGCGAGCAATGATGTTTGTGGTTTTTACACTGGCTCGGAGACAAGCTGGTTCGCTACACCTGCCGACCTCAGCGCATACTTATCAAGACTCTGACTTGGACTTATGGAGGCTCCGACTTGCGAACAAATGTTTCACATGATTCGACAAACACAGACCCCGGATTTATGCTGACTCGTATTGAGGAAACGATACGACTCAGATATCGATGCGGATTCTACGAATAATCCCTCCCTCCCCCGGAGTATCCTTATCGAGAGACGTCCAACCTGCGTTTAGAATCGTCACTCGTCACTCGTTAGCGACCGGCTGTCCACCTAAACCCCTCACATCGCGGTTTAAAATACTAAACGCCGTAGAGACTCCTCGACCGCATGGACACTTCAACCAAGCTAATGCGGTGTCCCCGTTCAATCTCCTCGATTCTTAGCAAAATGAGATTCCATACGGGCTCGGCCAGCAATCGAGTACAAGTTCGTGCTTTCGTACAATGCTGAGCAAACCAGTTCGTTGGGAAGTCGGCGAATCAACGGCCAGGAGTGCATATCTGCAGGCTTATCTACCTCGTTAGCACGCAGTTTCTTACCAAGGGCCTAGCACCTGAACTCGGTATATACATACTGACGCGAAAAAAACCATCGATACGCCAATTTACTCTGCCTCCCAGAATTCAGGGTTTATACTACCTCCTCACCAACCAATCCGCGAGGCGCGTACCTGACTCCGACAGTGAGTGCGTACGCCGCAAACCCTGCTAGTCAGGAACCACTAGAAATGTGAACAGCCTCAGGTTTGATTTCCTTGTAATTTGTCGGCAGTGGACCGCAATGCAATCATTCCGTCGCTCAATACAAGTTGTCTGTGGCGTGAATCCAGGCCATGAGCCCGTATCTTCAAACCTTGCGAAAATTCCGGCCGTTCAGTTCGAACCGCGAAAGAAGCGTCGAAGATGGATAGCCACCTGTCAAAATTCGGATCTGACCGTGCTTCTTCTTTGCATCTCGAACCGGAAAATGTTGGAAAGCCTGTTTGATGGCTAACATGACAGCAAGTCTCCGAGTCTAGAGCTCCCGCACTTATATGTAGGGGAGTCTAGGGATGCCGCATTTACGTGTCCACGATTCCGTCGGGTCCGTAGCGAGTGTTGACTTTTTGAATGAACGGTCCGTTGACTCAGCCACAGGCTCAAACTTCAAAGATTGACAGAATGGGCAAATAACAATTCCCCACTACTTATCGCGGCAAAATGGGGAACCAGTCTAACTGCATGAGACTTAGACGCCCGGTTCAGTTCGTCACCGCGCCAACGTCGGCTAGGTCGGCAGCAGGATGATGCGTCGTTGGGCGGACTGTTCGGCATATTCGCCTTTCATTTTATTCGCCGCCAAGGTTTTCTCCCCTCCGATAACGGCACCTTGGTCGATTCAACGTTTCAACTTTCTGGTGACTGCAAGTTCGATGTTGAATTCGGGTGTTGCTGAGTATTTCGCTCGTCCTCACTCTAGGATGATTCATCCCTCCTGCTTACACACTGTGTTGAAAATTATATACCCCGTCGCTCGGGAATTGCACGGGCACTTCCGAAACCTTTCAATACGCGAATTCGCTAATCAGCCCTCGGGCATTTCCCCCCAACGGTTCATAATGTACTTACTTATTCCCCGGGCGGCGACTGGGCGTTATAAAGGCACTTGCCCCATTCATTAAGATCTACAGTACATCCCGACCGAATCGCAGAATAAGGCCAAGACCAGTACTTAATCATCGCCGGGAAGATTGACTGAGGGCGCGACTGGTAGTCCCGTGGTTACTTCCGGCGACTTGACCAGAATTTTGGAATGCCACGTACTTTTATTTCCTTACACCCAAGTTCAGCCGTAGTTGAAGAACGTGGGCGGGTAAAAGGCCGAACGCTGTTAAATTTCTGTTGTCTGGCGAATAACCCAATATAGGCAAGCGTGGTTCAATGTGGGAGCATCAGATCCGACTGGCGAGCGCATCAACTTTGGCCGCCATGGATCCACCGGGATATCCGCGTTCATTTTTGACTGAGGAATTCGCAATTTGTGGAGCCAGCGGAACGCTTGAAGCTGCCCCGCACAATCCAGGCTCACCTCTCGGAAGCGGATCAAAAAGGAGAAAACATAGGACTGACACGATTGTGCGTCGGGCCCGGGGGAAGTAGTCTTGGGTGTGGATCTAGTTTTGGCGAAGAATGTTGGCGGGTGCACAGAACTCGTCAGTTGACCTTGGAGATTAGTCTTGAACCGAGCTAAGACTGCGCCGAGTAATTTGAGCGCATCAAATCGAGGCGCTAGCTCCTGAGACGAGAATGTAATTTCGGCGTCGTTGTTGTTCAGCCAAATTCCAGATAGTAGGCTCCGAACCTGGTGCCTAAAAGTTGTGCGTGCCCAAGTTGCTGCCAAGCCAATGTCGCAACACCACCGTGTCCTAGCCTAGTTAAAGCAGGAAGGATTTGGGGAAGCGGTTAAAATAACTTTGTAGAGCTCTCAAGTTCCACGGGTTGGAAGAAATTTAATCGGTGTTGGAAGTAAGCTGAAGTTCAGACATAGGAGACGTTAAGCACTTGTGTAACCACACACTTGTGGATATGGTTACACAAGGTGAATCACGATTATAGGGCAAGATGGCCGAGCGGTCTAAGGCGCCGCACTCAAGAGTAACATCTTTCCGAGCAATCGGAGTCCATTGCGGTCTCGCAAGAGGCGGGGGTTCGAATCCCCCTCTTGTCATGTTTTTGCCCCTATCAATCCTGATTCGTCTCGGTTGCCTTTTTCTTTCTTGTCTCAACGTCTCGCTTACCAAGCATTTGTTCTTTTGCACTCCAATTTCCGCCGACTGGTGAACCTGACTTGAGGAATTTGCTTTTGGCTTCGCGCCGCCGTCCAAAATGGCCACGTACAATACTGCGCGATCGTAGACACGTGATAGTATCATATGAGGTTGCGATTGGGGCGTCGTCGACCGCGACGTGTCTCCGGCTATTGTTCAGTCGTCCACGTTTGCAAGCAAATTTCAACTGCGGCGACTCACGAGTGATGAGTCGAGCCAGGTCGCCTTAGTAAGTTGCATGTGATAACTTGAGTGTGTTCCTGGACGATAAGATAGACTTGCCCTACTAGATAAGATTGACAGATTGACAGATTTCAAAATGAAAAAAGGAAAGAAAAACGGACGAGGTGGGTGTGGGGTGATTTGTTAGAAATGGGGTATAGGGGCGAGGATATCGTACGAGGGTTGGGCACACGATTGTTGGGAGATTTCGAACATCCGATTGTGTTTCTCGTTCCATTCTTTTCACGGTGGTACTTAGGTGCCCGCGGACACGGACACGGATGATTACGGGTGAAGATCTCCCATTGGTATTTTCCCTCTCCCGGCCCAACACAACTGCCTCGTGAAACTTGTAAAAAAACTTCTCGTCCTCGATCATCCCGGTTTCCGCCTCAACCCGCGTCCTGCCGACCACTGATTCCATTGTGCAACGCGACGCGTTTCAATCGGTCGCTTGCCTGCGTGACCGGCAAATGCAATTAACGTTGAGCGACGAACGTGCGTCGTACATGCGTGCGTAGCTCCTGTCGCGTCGGAGGGCGAAAGCTGTTGATTTGATTGAGGTCCGACGTCCCGACTTACCGAGTGTACCGAGCCTGTCGATTACGCGGAATGCAGAATGAGGAGAAATGTGGAATGTATCATCGGCGCACAACACGCCCGACGTTGATGGAGAATTTACTTGAGGGAGATCCTCCCGCGCGCAATGTCCGAGCGGCGCGTAGCGAATACTTTGGCTTGACGATGATGGATGGTTAGACGGATGGATGTCGAGATAGACGTAAATTTCAATTCGAGACGAGCACGAGCGCGCGCGACGGCCCGAAGTCAACGACCATTGACGCGGATCGCTACCTGTACGACCAAAAGAAAATTGAACCCAGCCAAGCGCGAAAAAAGTCTATCATAAAGGAGAAGATTAGATCCGGCCCGATTACCCGACCACCTTTTGATTCCCGCCTATTCCCGCCGGATGCCTTCCGACCTGGCGCGTGACACTGCTCCTTTACTCCCGGCTTCACTCCCGGCCCGCCTCGAAAATTTTATGAGATCAGAGAAATCCTTTCATCCGACCCTCGTCAGCACGCATCACGATTTCTGAACTCCGTCCATCCGTCGGGATCTTCCCGGCCCATTCCACGGGAACAGACGCGTCGATGCCGGTCCCCGAATCACGGTAGCGGATATACGGAAGACGACGACATGACTGACGCGGCGATGCGCTGAAGGCTGATTCAGACTCGGATTCATCCTTACAAACTCGGTTGCGCGGACCTTGACTTACCAAGACGCCTGGCAACTGACTCGACCGACTCGCTCGTGGCTGCCGGACATACAGTAATCAAACCAACTCACCCGGGGTCGAGGGGGGAGAAGGGTGGAGAACGTTCACGAACAAAACGCGTTCGACGCGTCGCGTCGCGGTCACCAGTCTCTGTACACGAGTTGCCCCTGCATCAAATCTGTCTTGAACGCAACTTCAACGCCACCTCCTCACCTCCTACGCCTCAAACCCCAAACGATATCGATGAATTGAAATAAATGCTCTGCCGGTGTACTTGCGCTCCGGATCCTACACTCCTGCGCGAATACACGACTTCCCTTGACTTTCTTTGACTTGACTTATCGGTACCAAGGCGACTGCCTGACTCGCTCGCTCGTCTCTGGCTCCCTCACAAACCGACTCGGCCGGAATTTGGGAAACGCGCGCGTACGGAAAATGCGCAGAACGTTCACGAATGTCTGCGAACGTCTCCGATTGCAAAGGAAAGAAACCGAGAAAACGTGTCGATGCCGGCCCATCGCACGAAGATAAGGGTAAGTCGAGGATGCGGATAGGTATGACGCTGCGGTGACTTCAAGCCTAACGTTGACGCTTTACGATGATACGATGCGATAAGAACTTGGAAATTCTGCCACAGGGGAGAACGTTCACGAACGTCTCCGGATATTCCTCCTTCTTCTAACCTCGATGAAAACGTGTTCTCGAATAAACGTGTTCTGCAAATCACATCTATCGATATCCTCAATCAAGCAAAGAAAACCTCCTGTGGACGTCTTGTAGATGCGGGGGGACGTGGGGGCGTTGTTCGTATGTTGCTTGGAATAAACGTGTTCTCCGGATCCAATCCTGCATCGTGTCCTCGAAATCACAATCATGTCTAGCGAAGTCCCTCAATCACACAAAGTAGGCAGGGAACGAGCTCCTGTGGGGCACTCGTGTAGATGGAGGCGTCTGGGGGCGCTACCTGCAATGTGGGGGCGTTAGCGTTAATGTTAATCTATCTTCTATATATATATCTTCTCATCAGTCTGTGTACTTACACTCGCACTCGATGTCCTCAGCGCGAGGTCAGGGTCATCAGGCTAATTAGAAGTCTTGACTCATCACGTTCAAGCGGATTCGAATACATACATACTCATTGCAATTAGAGACAAAGAGAAGAGCCGCCTCAAGAAAGAGATCACACAAAGCCATTGCCTTCGCAAAAAAAATCGATTCAATCTAAGCTACTCCTAAGGCTACGAGCTAGGTATACAAGTGTATATTTTGAGCGGGGGTGGTGCCGGGACTACTTGGAAAAGTACTCTGTCCCAGGCGTGTGTATGCGCGGTGTAGGTGGGCGCGGATAACGAATAATAAGTTGATACGAGAACGAATAAGAGACGGAGACAAGGAGTGGGTGGGCTCGAGCGCGCTCGTCCCTTAGGAGGAGCGGCGTCGGCTTTTAGTCGCTCGCACCCGCACCTGAGAGCGCGTCGTCAGGTCGGTTTTCGTGCGATGCGCATTTCGGCTCCAAGTGGAGCTCGATGGGGAGCGAGCGGGGGTCGCTCAGAAGAGGTGGGTAGCATCGGGGTGCCGTGTATGGGTCGAGTTTTCGAGTAGGTGGGGCGCAGCGCAGCGACGGGGCTACGCATTGACGTGTATGGGTATCGCATACGCCCTCGTGTGCGCGCGCGGGAGGGGGAAGGAGCGCAGGAGGTCGTGGAACCGCCCGCGTTTCGGCTCCTGCTGGTGCTCCGTGGAGTCGACGTCCATCGGTACGTCTGCGTGCTTGGAGTTTCCGTGCACATGGGAGTGGGGAGAGTGCTTGGCGGAGTGGGCAGAAGAGTGCGAAGAGGAGGCAGAGGAGGGCGACGAGAGCGGGGTGCGCGGGGAGAGCGAGGCGAGGGAGGACTGCGGCGAGGAGGGCTCGAGCTCGGGGACGCTCAGGTGGCGGTGGTGCGTGTGCGCGCGCGGCGGGGCGAGGTGCGTCTGCGTCACCGCCGGCGCCGCCTTGGCCTTGAGGGAAGTGGAACTGGCCTTCCCGGTGAGGCGCGACGCGAGGGCGCTCGAGCGCGCAGCGGCAGCCATGAGCCCCTCGTGGTGCGCCAACACATCCGCCTCGTCCACGCCCAGCTGCCAATCCAACACATCCAGAAACTCGCGCTCGATCCTCCCCACATCGCGCTTGCCGAACACGCCCGTGCAGAGCGCCCAGTGCACGTTCTTGAGCGTGGAGTCGTTGGTGTACTTGGAGGCGACGATGGTCGCGCCGAGGAACACGCGCTCGAGGGCCCATTCCTCCAAAGCGATGCTGAGGTGGGGCCGGGCGCGGGCGATGTAGACGAGCGCGACGAGCATGGTGGCGGGGGTGACTTCCGCGCGGGTGAGCACGGTGGAGACGAAGGTGCTGAACTTTGTGAGGTATGGCGAGTGGGTGGAGCGGCCGCGGGCGACGTGCGGCGTGGCAAGTCCGTGGCCGTGGGTGCGACCCATGGCAAAGTCGACGGTTTCGGCGACGGCGTCTACGATGTAGTCTGCAAAGTACGATAAGTGTCAAAGACAAAGAGGGAAAAGCGAAAAACGCACCAAGGACATGCTTGTCGAGCTTGATATCGATTAGCTGCATAAGAGCGGGTGCGTGTGTGGCGGGGTCGACGAGGGACGCGGCGTGCACAGGCGAGCTGCGGGTGCTGCTCTGGCTCCAGTCTGATCCAGAAGCAGAGAACTCGGACGAAGAGGTGCTGGAGGGCGAGCTGAACATGGCTGGTGGAGATGTCTGAGTCGAGCAGCGAAAATTGCGGTGTCGGACATGGTGGCGCTTGACTGTATATATACTCTTTGGGCTGCGGGCCAAGATGCGCTGCGAGTCCCGATCTGGCGATGACCCAGCCGATGACTCAGTTCTCGCGTAGTAACAAACCCAGCACAGCCCCACACCAATGGGCCGGCTCGAAATCTAATCAAGATCGCAATCCGATTCATCCATCCAGTTCCTGGGCCAAGTCGAACCGGTGCGGTTGCGGCGGTGTCCAATAAATCACTCGAACATGCTTTGCTTGGTGTTTCCCCAAGATACCAAGACCGGGCCAGCAGCGCCTCGACGAAAAAAATGTGGAGGATCGAGGGACACGTCCGACGGCGGCGCGCGCGACAGACGCGCAGCAACAAAGCCCCGCAGCCGACCGGCCCTCCTAAACACGCCCTGACTCAGCCGCACACGCATAAGCGGAACAATTTCACTGCGTCAGCGTAAGCGCCGGAATAACACGGCTTTGTTAAATTTTCACCGTTTGAACGCCGGCTCGTGATCGGTTCGTCAGCCCGCCACGTCCGTCGCTTGCGCTGTCGTGTCATCTCGCCTTTTCCTTTTTTTCCGTTCTGCATCGTTCCTCGGATAAATGGCCGGTGTCA